CAGCTGGGACTGTGTTCCCGCCAGTCACTCGGCCCCTTCCGGCGGCAGCAGCCCAGTGGCATTTCCGAAGCTCATCAGCTCAGCAGGTGCTCGAAGCGCCAGCAGCAGCAAAATCAGTTCCAGGCGGCGGAGCAGCTCTGCCCGCGGACCTCGCTGCTGAGGCGGGGAGAGCACCCTTGGAGGGAGGGGAAGCTCCAGAAACGGAGGCCTGGGGAGCGGAGCCTGCAGGAAACACCCCGAGCGTCCCTGGCGCCCCATCCCAGGGTGGAGCCCCCACTATGGGGTCAGCCCTCACCCGACAGACTGTGGCCAGAGCCCAGCCCAGCCCCTCGTGCTGTGTGACCAGGATCTGTGGCTCACCCGCCCTGGGCTGGCTTCCCCCTTTGCATGGGGGTGACCCTGCAACATTACCCTCGTAGGGTTCTTCTGGGGTCAGTGAGAAAGGCGCCTCCAGGACCCAAGGACGCTGCTTTACGTTCACATCGGAGCCCCTCCCCGTTCCCCTTGCTACTGGGGTGACTCGGGTACAAATGCACGGAAGCCTACAAAGTCCACCTTCGTTCCACACCAGGCGGAGCCAAGAGGGAGTCACAAGCCACCTGGGCAAGGGCACGGAGAGGGACCAGAGCCTCTAACCCGCAGAGCCCAAACGGCATCTGCCCCTATGTCCCTGACCCTTCCCCGCCGGCACCGGGGCCTCAGCTCAGAGGCCGAGGTCACCGTGGAGAAACGGTGAGCGGGGGGTCTTCTCCAGCTTCCAGCAGCAAGAGAAGCGGGAAGACGGGGGACGGGCCAAAGGGGCCCCCAACCGCGGCTCTCCCCACACGCCTGGGTGACCGAGGGCTGCTGCTCCCGTCCCCTGAGCCCGTCTTCCTCGCCACGTGGAGGGCGTCGCTCCCTCCCGGGGCACATCGTGTGGGCGTCACACACACGGTACTTCTGTCCTCTCGCTCCCCTGCCCCAGGTGCAAAGACGGCAGGGAAGGCGAAGTCTGGACTCTCGTGAATCTCAGGGAGGCCCCTGCACCCGAGACCCCGTCAGCCACGGCCAGTGAGGTTTTCCCACAACCAAGCAGGACCCCTCCCCGGGCCGCTCGGGCGTCACCAGCCCTGACACAGCAGCCGCTGTCCCCCAAAGGCCAGCTGGCAGGGGTCGGGGCAGTAAGACCTGCAGAAAAGGGGGAAGGCCCGGCTCTGGGCGTCGTCCTCAGCAAAACCCGGCTGAGCCAAGGTTCGGGGACCATCTGACAGCTGCTCCGGGAGCGGGAGCAGAATTACGAACAAGGGCTAGAAAAGGCCGTTTCCATATAGACGTCGGAGGGATACAGGGTGCAGATCCGCGTCAGAAACAGGCCTGACGCGGCCGCAGGCTGCCTGCTTACACAGCTTTTTCCTTCTGCAGACAAATGCCGGAGCGTCATGCTTCCGAATACAAATCATCTCCAATTAAGACACTTGTGCTCTGCGGGAAAGCGGCTTGGCAGGGCGGGCGAGGGACCTGCCGCCACCTCGCCCTGGGCTTTCAGGGCTGGCAGGGCGATTTATTTTTGTTGATTAAACAAAATACAAATGGAAAGGGTCTGAAAATTGATTAGCCAAGTACCCCGGGTGGTTCTCAGCGCCGCAGTGTGTGCATCACGGCTTCCCAGAGTCACAGGAGCGCCTCCTCGTTTCCCCGCGGCTTCCGGGACTTACAGCGTTGATCCTGGTGCCGAGAGAAACCTTTCTGTCACCTTGAGGCAGGCGCTGGAGGAGGCGACTCCGGCTTGTCTTCTGCTGGAGCGAAAGGAAGAGAAATACCCAAGGGATTGGGCCGTTTCAGGGAGAAGGTCCACCAGGATTTGAAATCCTTT